TTATCGATGGTGTGCTTTGGTGTGAGGTCGAGGTGGTGGAGTGGACATTGTTGATGCTGCACAAATGTCGCTTTCGCACCGAGTTGCTAGAGCCTACCCCTGCGAAACCACCTGTAATTGTGTTGATAACGCCCCGCAAGGGGGCCGACCCTGTTTCCTAGCTTACCTCGGCCTGCATTGCGCCACCAGTGTTTTGCTGGGATCTAGAGGGTTGTTCTGTGTGGCGCCTGCGCCGCGACCTCGCCCTCGTCCTCGTTCGTTGTAGCCTCCACGGTGACCTTGCTGTCGTTGCACGTATTGCCTGAGGTGTCCTGCTTGGACGAGCTCCTCTATACGATCTCGGAGTGTACGACATTCCTCGATGGTGTGACCGTGGTTTCTGTGGTACCGACAGTGCTTTGTCCGTGTAATTGGGACTGTGCCTGGGTGGTGGCAAAGTGAGCAGGTTACTGTTGCTGGCTTCCTCCAGGATGTGCACTTGGGGCGCACTCAGGGGGGTGTAGAAGTCGTATCTCCCCCCTTTGTTTGCCCTAGCAGACTTCTTGAATTGGTTGTCATTGTTGACCTTCGTCTTGTCCTTGTGACCATGGTCTGGCTTTGTCTGTGACTTGTCGTGAACCTGGTCATGAAAAGTTGAGTGCTCTTCCATCTGGATGTACCTGGCAGCTCGGGCATGGAGCTCGTCCATGTCACGAGGAGCTTCACGACACAGGCTGTCTATGAAAGGTCCATGCTTGAGCGCGATGAGCATGGCGTGTAGGGCGACTTCGGGATTCATATTCTGAATCTTGACCGAGATGCTGGCGAAGCGCTCCATGAATGTCCTTAGCGACTCATCATCACCTTGTCTAAGACTGGCCAAGGCGGCTGACGTGACATGGTGAGGCCGACTCGTGGCATATTGAGCCGTGAATTGTTTTACCAGAGTATTGAATTTGTCAATCGACTCAGCTGGTAATTGGGTGTACCAATTGAGTGCGGCCCCCTTGAGTGAGGTCGAAAAAACCCTACACAAAATAGCATCATCATTAGTGTAAAGGATTACCTGCGTAGTGTACAGGTCGATGTGTCATCCGGATCCGTCGTGCCATCGTAGCGGTCGATGTGGAGAGGCTTCCAACCGAAAAGGAGAGGCGTTTCCATGATGCAGTCCACAAAAGGATGGAGATGAAAGCTCGCCCGATTTCCAGTGACCTGGGCAGGAGCATTGTTGACTTCATGGGCCGACCTGTTTGTTGGTGCGTGAGACCGATGTGTGGCAGGTCGGGGAGTCAGTGCCCTAGGCGCGGTTGGGGGTTGAGAGACCGAGTGCCCCTCCTCTTCATGTTGACTACTCGGTTGAGGGGGCTGATCAGAAGGGCGCCGAGGAAGCTGGGCGCAAATACGCTCATTCTCGGCACGCAGTACCGCTAGGTCAGCCTCATTCGCGGTATGCAGCACCGCTAGGTCAGTTTCGTGCTTGGCACGGATGTTTTGCAGATCGGCGGTGTGTTGTTGCCGCATCTGCTCGACCTGTTCGATCAGTCTTCTCAATGCTGTTTCGTTGTCCATGCTTGTTGTGCAATCTACGTTATTTGTTGCTCGTCTACTATGGCTTCGGGTGAAAACCATATGCGTGGCCGATAAGAGTTGTCTTGATCGGCCCCACGGTGGGCGCCAAATGTTCTTACCGGAGATTGGTCGTAGGGGACGATCTGCTGGGTAAGATCGACGAGCCTCCTTCACTAGGTACGCTTGTTGTTTCAAGGCGGGGGTGGTACCTGCAAAAGAGACTCCGATGCTAAAGTTAGTGTTTGTGGGTGTATGAGTCTCGTATAAGTAATGCACGTACCTTAGTGTGGATTAGGGTTTCATTGGGTCTTGGGCCTGAGATTAGTTATGACCTATTTGGATGTCGGGCTGACGTCGCCTAGCGCGTGTTCGAGGTCACTCTGCGCTGAGATGCCGAGCTCGAGCTCGGGATAGCGGTACAGATAGTACACCTCCCTTAACCAAATAGCCACATCAGTAATTGTAACTCTCATTTGGTGTTGAGGTCAGCTGTTAGGCTTAGGCCAAAACCCAGTATCCTAACACATTGACCAATAAATTTCTTGATAGCAACCTTAATATTAATCATAACAAGCTTTGCTTGAATGGTGCAGTAACATCACTATACCTTCTTTTTATTACAAAAACATAATTTTACTACAAAACATATTAGAAAAATAAATTAACTTTGCTAATGAAGATTATAACAAAGCATCAAGTGAGAATCTAATATGTATACCTCCTCAATTAATGTTGCATATGCCTGAGGTAAATTAAAGCATATCCAATGTTTAGTTATTATCCTTTTGGAATATTCATAGCAAGAGCCTAGTATCACTACAAGAAAATGACAATTTTGCGACAGTTATATGGCCTACATTGCGATCGTTAGAACTACCGCAAAGACATCATTGCGACGGTTCACCAACCGTCGCAGAAATGTCCGTCAAGAGTGAATTTTGTGATGGTTACTGGAATCGTTGCACAAACCGTCGCAAAATTGGAATTGCGACCCTTACAACACTCGTCGCACTAACTGCCTCTAAATCACTCGTTAAATATTTATTTTTTATTTTATTAAATTTTTTAGACGTCTCAAATTCGGTTGCTATTCTTCTCAAGGATTCTATTTCACAATACTTCACTTTTTAGTATGTTTTGTCCTTACTTACATAGTTTCTGGGAAACTTTCTAGAAGGTCACCCATCCCTGTATTACTCCAAGTCAAACACACTTAACTGTGGAGTTCTGATGAGATAAGCTACAGAAAAGCAAATACATGTTGTACGTATAAGTAGTACAAATTAATTCATTTAAGTCATTCTCAACTATACAATCTCATACTTATACTATCTTTGGATCCCTCTCATTCCGGTGTGTTCGAACCGTTATAAATATATAATAATTATATTACTAATAATAATTATATTATATTTAATTAATCTTTATTTATATATATACTTA